GGCCCCGCCGCCGAGCAGGTGGGTCCGCGCGGCGCGGCCCGCGGGGCCCCGGGGTGCCCCGGCCGCCCCTCACGCTCCCCGTTGCAGGAGGAGAGCTGCCAGGCCAAGCGCTCGCCCTCCTCGCCGCAGGGAGGGCCCAAGAAGCGGTCGGCCTTCGGGGACATCACCAACGTGAGTGCTGCCCTCGGCCCCGCGGTGCCCGGCGCCTCGCAGCCCTCTGTAACCTCTGTTTCTGCCCGTGCCCGGTCCCTACAGGCTCCTGTGACCCAGGCGGTGGTGGGGAAGAAGGAGCCGTCCAAAGGCGGGACGCGCAAGAAGGCCCCCGTCRCCCTCGACGTCGCCAAGAACAATGAGATCAACCAGAAAAAGTGAGTAGCCAGGTGAGACGGGCTCGGGAGGGTGGAGGAGGCGCCTGGTACAGCCCCGTGGGGCGCGGGGAAGGGCTGGGGGCTGGGGGCTGGAGCTCTGGGCCCTGCAGCGGGAGGGGGCTGCGCTGTGGACTTGTGGCTCTGTCCCCTGCACGTGGATGTGGAGGGCCAGGAGCTGCGCACAGCGGATACCGGGGTCTGGGGGTTGATTGAGAAGCTGTTGAGAGCTTAACTGAAGAGACAATAAGGGGCTGGAAGAGCCCTTGGAGCTGGGAGAAATGGGCCTGCTCCCAGTCATGGCTTGTGCTCTTGTCCTGCTCAGGTCTTTGAGAAAAACTCCGCCRACGGAGTCTCCTGCAGAGCCCCCGAAGGTTCCTGTGCCCGAGGAGCCTGAGCCCGTGCAGGTACCGCGGCTGCCCAAGGAGAGGGCAGGGAGCCTGGAGCACAGCCTGGCTGCTGCTCTCGTCTTGCTCTTGCTGGTGACACAGGCCTGTGCCTCTTGCCAGGGGCACTGGGACACCAGGAGGTGCTTTGAACCTCGCACATGTGTCCAGTGTTACAGGAGCTGGGGAAATAACCTCCCTCCACCTTCCTTCAAAGGTCTCTTGTGGGGAAACGAGCAGGGTGGGGGCTGCAGGGCAAGGGAGGGCTGCTATAGGTACAGCTGCTTGGCCCTGAAGGGGTGACCCCCAGGCACCCTGCAGGGTCATGCCAGCCTCCCCCGACACAGCTGGCCACAGCAGCTGCCTCTCACTGATGCCTGGGGACCTCCTTCCAGGCCCCGGTYGTGGAGAACATCGACCAGGAGCAGCTGGGTGACCCCTACGCCAGTGCCGAGTACGCCAAGGAGATCTTCGACTACATGCGGGAGAGAGAGGTGGGTGCTGGGTGCACTGGCAGCCGGGGCTGAGCCCTGGCCAGGCTGCCACCCTCGGGGAGCAGAAAGAGGCTCTGAGCACCCAGCAGCAGCAGGGCCCTTGCCATTCTGCCTCATCTTGGGCTACAGGGTGTCCAGCAAGTCTCTAACACGTCCTGCCTTGACAGGAGAAGTTTGTGCTCCCCAACTACATGGAGAAGCAGCCGGACATCAGCGGGGACATGCGGGCCATCCTGGTGGACTGGATGGTGGAAGTGCAGGTATGTGAACATGGGGACGGGCCACAGCCCTTCAGAGCAGTCCCTTCCCCTGGGCAAGGTTCAGGGCATTTGGCATATRGAGCCTCATTGCTTAGATGGAGGCTCCCGTGAATATTCCCAGGGCAGAGCCGACTTGTTCCCCCACCACAGCAGGCTAAGGACAATCCCTCAGGACCCTGCCCCCAACCTGGCTCTTTGAGCCCCAGTGTGACCCTTATGGGGCATCCAGCAACCAGGCTGGAGCAGMGGGATGGGGGTACTGTGGCCCTCATGTGGATTTTTTCTATTGCTTGCATCTTTGCAGGAGAACTTTGAGCTGAGCCATGAGACGCTGTACTTGGCAGTGAAGCTGGTGGACCACTACCTGGTGGAGGTGGTGAGCATGAGGGACAAGCTGCAGCTCATCGGCTCTACAGCCATCCTCATTGCCTCCAAATTCGAGGTGACTCTGCAGTGTGCTYCATCCAAGTGCTAGGGGCAGAAGGGGCTGTGTTTCTCTAGCCCTCCACAGCTGTGARTTTTATAGGTGATGACTGAAGTGCTAATGAGGGATGCTAGTGTGGCTTATCTGACAATTTGCAACCTCTTCCTGGGCCAGGTGGCCTGGATGCTGCCTACAGSTGGCCTAGGTCTTCCCTCCGCACCACAGGGACCACCAGGACACCTGGGTTCATCCTGCACAAGCAGGACTAGGAGCTAAAGCTGGTTGGGGATCAGCTTGGCTGTGGAGTGAAAGGGTTGGAGCCGTTACAGGCAGCATGATGTTGCCTCTTTGCATGGGACCCACTGAACATTGCAGTGGTCCTTTCAGGACCTAGCAGGGCAGCCCTTTGTGGGACTTGCAAACCATGAGGTTTGGCACCTCTTTTGCAAGTGATAGGATCTCCTGAGCATTGCCAGGATGAGTTCCTGCTAGGGTACCAAGCAGGTTGTGCCCGACAGGAGCGGTGCCCCCCGTGCGTGGATGACTTCCTGTACATCTGTGACGATGCCTACAAGCGGGAAGAGCTCATTGCCATGGAGATGAGCATCCTCCGCACCCTCAAGTTCGATATCAACATCCCCATCCCCTACCGGTTCCTGCGGCGCTTTGCCAAGGTGGGTCCAGCAGGAAAATGAGCTGGTGTKGGGACATTAGGGTGTTTTGTCCCATCCTCTGCCTCCCTATCAGTAGGGAACACTTGTGCCCCATGGCATCCACTAGGCAAGTACCGTGTCCCTTCTGCCCGCTGGCGCAGAGGTCGGGCAGCACCGTGCTCAACAGCTCCAGAGGCCAGGAGCTGTTGCTCAGGGTGCTGAGCCTTTCCTTGCCTGCCTGGCTGCAGTGTGCCCGTGCCAACATGGAGACGTTGACGCTGGCCCGTTTCTTCTGCGAGATGACGCTGCAGGAGTACGACTACGCCCGCGAGAGCCCCTCCAAGCTGGCCGCCAGCTGCCTGCTCCTGGCGCTCACCATGAGGAACCTCGGAGGCTGGGTCAGTGCCACATGGCTTGCGGTGCCCTGGCACCCTCCTGGGTACACACCTCTGCCCCTGGGCACAGATATGGCCTTGGGGTGGGCCTGGGTGCYGGGGTGATGCTGGTTCAGCTGGCACTGGGCTCTGTGCTGCAGCTGGTGCATGGGGGGCCTGTCCAGGAGAAGGGAGACCTCCCCTGAGGCTTTTGTGGGGCTGGAGCTCGGGCCGGGGGAGAAGGTGATAGTTGTGCCTTAGAAGGGAAGCCCTTGCTCACCCRCTCTCTCTCTGCAGACCCCCACACTGGAGTATTACAGCGGGTACTGCTCCAAGGACCTGCATCCCCTCGTGAAGAGGTTGAACTTCCTATTCACCTATCAACCCCACGACAAGCTGAAGGCTGTGCACACCAAGTACTCACACAGGTGAGTGTCAGGGGCCCTGCCCTGAGCCTGCTTTCTCTGTGGGACTGCCCTGGGTGCCACCAGGAGTGCAGGCACTGTGACAGATGGCACTGGGGTGGCAGGACTGGGGCTGAGCTCTTAAGACACTGTGGCTCCTTTCAGGGTCTTCTTTGAGGTTGCCAAGACCACCCCCATGGACATGCTGAAGCTGGAGGAGATACTAAGGAGCTAGCCCTGACTCTGTACATAGACTGTAAATAGCTAGGTGCTCTCTGGCCCAGGAGCAGTGTATATAGAAAATGCAATTGTTTTAACTACATGTGAGGGGGTGGGTTGGAGGGAGGGGGGAAAAAATGTAGATCTGTCAATAAAATATTTTGTACRTGTCCTCTGGGCTGGTAGTGGCTCCTGGAACAGGGCTGACCGTGGTAGGGACTGGACAGGGCACAAGGGTAGAGGCTCTATTGATCCTCTCGAGCTGTGCTTCCCCTCCTTCTATCRGGGCAGAAGGGGAGTGCAGGTTTGGTCACCTATGGGGGCAGCAGGGAGGAAGGAGGGAGAGCAGGAAGATGAGGGGTGAGGGCTGGAATGGCCAAGGTCCCTCCCTACCCTGCTCYATCCCCCTGAAGCAATGACACGATGCAAGCACCAGCAATAAATATCTCTTCTCCAAGTATTTACACAGCTTAAATACCCACATCGGGGAGGCAAGGGCTCTTTGCTTTGGCCCCAGCTTGGACCGGTACACAGTGGCCCAGGCCCTCTGGTTCCTGTAGTGACCCACGCGTGGGCCAGCATCGCCTACCGCACCATATCTCCACATTAGTGTCTTCAGCCCCACAGGCTGTGGGAGAAGCAGCAGCTCCGGGGGCACTGGGGAACAAACAGACAAAGCAAGGCAAGCAGGGGGGCTCCGCACACAAGGGGCACACAGGGGATCTGGGCTCCCCTCTTCTGGCACCCAGCCCCTGGGCACCAGTCCCGAGGGGCTAGAGGTCCTGGGACAGGGATCCAGGGCACGGGCTCAGCTGCCACGCTGGGCCCTTGGTTTAGGGCATGCTGCTGAGCTCCTTGATGGCCTGGAGGATTCTCTTCATGTGGCCCACTTTGGTGATCCCCAGGTCCTGCAGCGAAGAGAAATGGCACTTGACTCTCTTGTAGCATGAGCCCTTGGCTAAGCTCTCCTCTGCCTGCGGTGAAATGGAGGGGCAGAGAGCAGCTGCTGTCCTTGCTCTCCTGGCCAGAGTGCAGCCAAGCCCTATGGTGACCAGGAGCCTCCTGGCCTGCCTGTAAGCACCTCTCCAGGAGGCCCTTCCTCCCCTTGCACCCACCTTCCTGTTCAAGGACAGGGCTCACCCCCAGCCCTTAGTCCTGCCCCAAACTGGAGGGGCTTCCTCTTACCCCCTTGTAAGCATCTCTGCATGCAGTGAGGGCACACTGCTATCCCCCCATCCCCTGTGCAAGCATCTCTCTCTGCAGTATTTTGCAAGGCAGGGCTCCCAAAGCAATGCCCTCTTCCCCGCTTCCAACCCCTGCTCACATGCCAGCTGGCACCGGCCCTGCCAGGGTTGCCCTGCAACACTTCCTCGTGGGAAGCAGGGTAAGTACYTGCCTGGCCCTGCCATTCCCTGCCTAAGCCCAGCTGAAGGAGGTAGAGGAAAAGGAGAGAGCTGGGGCACTGGTGCTACCCAGGCTGGGAATCCATGGGAATGGACAAGGGAATCTCATACCTTCAAGTCTCTCCTCTCCAGCAGGATCAACTCAGAGCCCTGGATGTCATGACGCACAAAAATGTCTCTGTACTCCCCCAAACCAAGCGTCTCCAGCCAAGCTGCCACCTCCTCAGAGCTCCACTTGTCTGCTGGCAGGGAGGAAAGCCCGGATCTCAGGAGAGCCCTGGTGCCGGCAGTGGCACGTGGCGGGCCAAGGCCAGGCAGGCAGCAGCGGGCAGCACCTTCCAGCCCCACTCTGGCTGGGCCTGAAGTCCCAGGCACCTCAGCCTGGAGATGAGCTTGCTCTTCTCCATGGTTTTCTTGCAAACCAGATTTATTTGCTGCATTTCTCTCCATCCATGAAGACCCCAGCCCCAGTGCAGGCACTGAGCTGCAGGACTGGGCTGAGCTTTCCCAGAACCCAACTCCTTCCCATGAGGATGGAGGTGGTGGAGTTATGGTGCTGGGATAGGGGAAGAMTTCAGCACTATAAGGGGCTGCCTGTGACAAAGGTGCTTCTGTGGCAGCCCTGCGCAGCTGGGGGCTCTGCCACCCTCCTTGTGCTGCCCCGTGGKGGGTAATGCAGGGACTGGAACAGCAAGGTTAGGACCTTCTCCCCTGCTAGTGCTGCAACTGCTCTCCCTTTGGTTGGTGGGGTCTGGACATCTTGCTGACCCTTCATCCTCACGGAGGGCTCAAGGGTTCTCAGGCTCCCTGCTCTGAGCCAGCCCTCCAGGGCAGGTCTAGGGTAGGTCTGAGCCTACTGTCTAGGTCTCCTCCRGGGAGTCAGTGCCTCAACCCTCAATACAGGACTGAGGGCCAGGGCACTTCAAGCTCCCTTCTCCCASCCTGGGGCAAGACCCCCTTTACCTGGGAGGCCGCTGTTGGATTTCTGCTTGGACGCTTTGTCTTTATCTTTCCTGGGCTTGGGGATGTTGAGGCGAAGCTTAAAGCTGCCTTTGTTGGCCGTCCCCACGTTTTCCTGCAAGAAGGAGGGATGGAACACAGTGGAGAGGAAGCGGGAGATGACAGCACCTCTACCACCCACCCAAGGTGGCCTCCAGGGCTGAGGCCGTGCCGTGCCACCCACCTCCTCAGCGGGGTGGGCGATGGGCGCCAGCCAGTGGACGTCGAGCAGCCTCTGCAGCTCGTGGCCGAGCGCRCCCAGGGGCCCGCTCAGCGCCTCCTCCTCCTGCGGCGAGTCCAGCTGCGGGGCACAGGCACCGTCCCCAGCGCCGCCGCGCGCCCACGGCCCCGCGCCCTCCTCCGCCACGGGGCTGGGGGTGCCGTCYGAGGCCGCACTCACCGCCTTGCCCTCCAGGAACGCCCGCGTCTCYGTGTACAGCGCCTTGATGCTCAGCGCCACCTCCACGGCCGCGTTCCTGCTGAGGAGCTGCGGGACGGCGGCGGCGCGAGGGCTGAGCGCGGGACCGTGCGCCCGGCGGCCGCCCCAGCCCCGCTGCCGCGCTCACCTCGGGGCTGCCGGCCGCCCGGCTGGACAGGGCCTCGCTGAGCGCCAGCGAGCTCGTGTTGACGGCGTGCGCCAGCTCCTGCTCCATGGCCCGGTGCGCCTTGGCGGCCTCGTGGATCCTGCGGGAGCGGCAGGGACGCGCTGGGCAGACAGCCCGTGGCTGCCGGGAGGACCTGGGTGTCCCCTCCTCTCCCACAGCATGYGAGCGGGGCAGGAGACCCTGGCTCAGCCACCCATGGGATCCAGGGCAGAGCGATGTGGTGGGACACCGAGGAACGCAGCGCTGCAGCCAAGTGTCCCTGTTCCCCCAGCCCGGGCATCCCTCCCTYGTGCTCCCCTGCAGCCGAGCGTCCATCATCGCTGCCCCGTGCCCGCTGCCCCACCTGGCAATGAGGGTCTCGGCGACCTGCGAGAGCTGCAGCAGGAGGCCCATCTCCTCGTCCGTCAGGTACTCCATGGACTGCTGGGAGCTGAGCCGGGGCCGCGCGGCCGCGCGGTAGCTCTCGCCTTTCTGCTTGTCCTCCCAGGACTTGAGGGTGCTCTCGAAGGCCTGGGGGCAGAGGGAGGCTCTCAGGGTGCCTCTTAGGCTGGCCCTTGTCCTGGCAGAGMCGAGTTTCACCGGGACACCAGCCCTCAGCCTGCTGCTCCTGTCCCCAGGGTGCAGGTGCCCTTGGGGCAGAGCAGGACGGTGCTGAGGGGACACGGTGCCAACCTCTGTACGGCAAGGAGGGTCAAGGCAAGGAAGAGCTTTTTCTGGCTGTCCCGCGGGCATCTGCTCCAGACCCAACCCGGACGTGGCCCATGGACAGGCTGGAGGCAAAGCTCACCCGATCTCTTGTCAGCATCTGGGCTCGGTTCTTGTGCTGGATCTTGATGACTCCCGGGGGTTGGATCCAGGCTTCTCCATCTACTTGCACTGGGACCCCCTCGTCGCCCCGGATAGTGATCTTCACCATGCGGCACTGCGGGGCAGACAGCCCAGGGCTGGCATCGCCAGGCTGGCAGTGCCCGCTGCAAGCTTCTGCTTGGTTCAGTATCCAGACTGAGGCTGAATGTGCCCTGCCACCACCTGTAACCTTCATGTGCCCAGCAGAAGCCCATGCCACCTCCAAGGACCTCAGATATATTGAAGCTGAGGTGTCCCGGAGCGCTCTGGCACCACGTGGTGTCTCATTCCTGCCCACTTGTGTCCAAAGTGTCCTTGTCCCCGCTYGGCCCCGCTGGCCCCTACCTGTGCTATGCGGTGGTGCTGAAGATTGATGACCCGCGACACAGCCATCTGGATGCTGCCAAAGACGGCCACCACCTCCAGCTTCTTGTCGTCAAAGGACGGGGCCCCGAAGTTCTGCAGGGGGCCAGCACAACTGAGACCCCCAAGCTGGGATCAGCCCAAGCTTTTGGGGAACCCATCCCCTCCCTCCAGACCACAGGATCTCCGGGAACACAGGAAGGGCACCCCAGGCCCTCCTATCCACCCCACAGCGCTCACACTCACGTTATCCTCCTTGGTGCCTCCCCAGAAGTTGATGCCTCCAGCATAACTGGGGATGTTAAGGACAGCGATGCCCTGCAGGCTGGGCAGGGAGATGGGCACCCCGTCGCACTGGAAGAGAAGGCCGAGGCAGGAGGAGACCAGCCCCGCTGCCCGCGCAGCCCCCTGCGGTCCCGCTCGCCGGGGCACAGCTGCCCTCGCGCCSCTACCTCCAGCTGCACCCGCTGCTCCAGGTTCTTGTAGGTGCGCTGCAGGAGCTCCTTGGTGCCCAGCACCCCGTACCACATCATGTTCTTGGTGCGGCTGCTGCAGGGGCAGAAGGGGCCGGGTGAGCAGGGCAGCAGCCCAACCCCAACCCTCGATCCCAACCCTGCTCGGCAGCTCCAGTACAGCCTCACCCAGGGTCCCTGTCCCCTTTGCAGCCAGGGACCAGCAGCCTCTACCGCTCAGGTTCCCAAAGACAAGCTCGGGGGCTTGGTGTGCACACGAGCTCAGAGCTGGCTCTGTTGCCCAATTCYTGCTCTGTGCCTCAGTTTCCCCTCTTTTGAGACAGGTTGCTGCTTGGCACCTCCGAGGAGATGCAGAATGCAGTGCTTGGCCCCAGGAGCATGCTGAAGACTTCCCTCAAGACAGACAGGATCTCGCCCACGCAGGTGCCCAGCAAGCAAAACTCACCGAGCACCTCCTGACACCAGCACACACTTGGACCCACGCAGGGTTTACCCCAGACCGTCTGCAGCAGGAGCCTCACAGCAATCCCACCCCTTGCCAGGGTGAGCTGGCCACCAGCTGCACCCAAAGGGGCTTGTGCACCAGCGTAACAGCTCTGACCTCCAGATTCCCACTATCCAGAAAGTCCCTCCTGGTTTGGGAGCCCCCAAGACAGGTAACCAGGAGGAGACCAAGCTGCACAGGGAATTGCCGGGGGCTCAGCCCACCTGCATTTCTTGGGATGCTCATCCCGCTTGTTGTTGAACTCCAAGGAAATCTTCGCATCCAGGCCGATGCCAAAGTAGTTATTCATGACACATTTCTCAGAAAATTGGCTGAAAGCAGCAGACAGGGAAGGCAGGTTGGGAGAGAGCCACGCACAGGCGATTGCCGGGGTGGAACTGGGAAATAGGAGCAGAATAAAAATAGCCAGGGTTGCAGTGCGAGCAAGGGGTGGGCGCTTGGCATGGACCAGGAAAGGRCTGCCAGGACCAGCCGTGGAGAGGCTCAACCCAAGACACCAGGGATGGAGCAGCTGTAGCTGGGGCCAGTTTGATCCCCACACTGGGACTCCCACCCAGGACCTGCCTGGAGGGAACCACACACTCCGAACTTCAGATGTACATCAGCTTCAGCATCTCYGCTAACGTCAGCCTGGCAGAGAGGCTGCCTGGGAGTTTGCCCGTGGGAAGCACTGCACGTGCTGGCGCGCGTGTCCCCGGGGTGGTGGCACCGAGGCGATGCCAGGCAGGGCTCGGCGTGGGGGACACGGAGGGTGCCCGCGGGCAGTGCTGCTCTCAGAGGCAGTGGGACCCACGGGGAAGCCTCACAGCCGTGGGGCTGCCCCCTTGGGCTCCCCATCGCCCCATGGGCACATGTGGGCAGCCAGTGCCTCGGGAGCCCCGCGGAGGGCCCAGCCTCTGACTCACAGGGCRCTGGGGTCTTCGGGGAACTGCAAGGTGCCGAAGGTGTCGGGCCTGTCGAGGAGGATGGAGGAGGTGGCAGAAGTCACCGTCTCCCGCCGGGAACCTGGAAAAGAGGCAGTTAATATAGGGGCTCTTGGCTGACCTCCTGGAGCACCCACATGCCAAAGCTCAGCCCCCCGGTGTCCCCAGCCYCGCTTACTGAGCCTCTCCGCCTCCTTGTTGCACTCCTCCAAGCTGTCCTTCTTGGCGGGCCCCGCGGTGCCGCAGTAGGCTTGGGTCTGCTTGTTCTGCTCGTCCACAGCTGGGTGGAGACCCCGGGCGTCAGCACGTGCCGCAGCAAGGCTCCCTCCCGGGTGCCTGCCATGCTGTGCCCGGGCGCTGTGCCGGCGCAGGCACCCAGGACGGGCTCATTGCCAGCACCAGCACCGGGCAGGGCGCCTCTGCCCCGCTCGGGGCCCGCACCTTTCTCCGCTTGCTCGATGATCTGCCGCAGGGCTTTCTTGAGGCTGTTGGCCCGCAGCATGAGCTGCTCCTTGGATTTGAAGATGCGGGGCACGGGGCTGGGGTGGAAGCCGCTCTCTTTGTCCCGCTCCTTGGTGTCGCCCGGCGGGGCCGGCAGCGGTCCCTCGGGGACGGTGATGGCCTGGGCCTCCTCGTTGAGCTCCCGCACCAGCGAGTCCAGCTTCTCGTTGAGCATGGCGCACTGCAGGGCAAGCAGCGCTTGCACCGGGGCCCGCACGGGGCTCTTGCATGGGTGCCCATGTGCCATGGCATGGGGCTAGCTGGGCTCTCCATGACCCCAGCATGCAGGCCCACCCCCAGCTGTCCCCAGCCCACCTTCCGTGCCATCAGCTCGGCCTCCTGCTTGTTCTCAGTGGATCTCTTGTAAGCCCGGCCAACCTCGGCTACAAAGTCATTCACGGTGCCGCACAGGAACCTGCCAGGGAGAGGGTCGGGGTGGTGGCAGGGGCACAGCGCCTGCTGGGCATGGGTGCCATCCCGGTGGGACCCCAGGACGAGCCTCCCTTGCACCAGCAGGGCAGCACCAGCACTATCCCGGCACAGGCATCCTCAGCGGGGTGTTAATGTGATCCTGGGATCCTGGGGCAGGGGTGACACCCGCAGCCCTGTCCCCAGCGCGTCCCTTACTTTGCAGACGAGATCACCACCGAGTGCTTGTCGGACTCCAGGATCTTGGCCAAGTGGAAGGCAACGGAGTCGGCGTAGTGGGAGATCTGGGCCTGGGGGAACAGGGGGCACAGCTGGGGCTGGGCTGCCTGAGCGGAGCCCCATCCATGGTGGAGACGAGCCCAGGGCACCCCGGAGCAGGGCTGAGCAGCAGCCCTCCTCAGCCCGAACCCTCCAGGCAGAGGGGACGCTCCAACACACCAGGAGGGAAACTGAGGCACAGGGAAGGTGGAGGAGTACATAGAAGTCATAAAGAGCCCCCTGAGCTCCAGCTTTGCAGATCAGCCCCATGTCTCCCAGCTAGCCTACCCCTTGGCAGGTGCCAAAACACATCCCAGTGGTTCTGTGCGTGTTGCGCTGAGACTTGCCAGACTCATTGCACTATGCTCACCAGCTGTCAGCCCCTCTGCAGCCTCACTTCCTAGGGACCCGAGCACGGCCTCTCTGGGGACTGCACCTTCCCTTGCACGTATTGGAACCCACTGCCAGTCTCAGCCCACGGCTCGGACGGGCACCAGCCTTGCCCCCCTCAGAGCCCCCCGTGCCAGCAGAGCGGCCTACCTGGATGTTGGAGTCCCCRTCCTCCTCCTCCTTCACAGCCGGGGGAGACTGCTTGGGCGCCTCGTAGGTCAGCACGCTCCAGCTGCCGAGCACAGACAGACACTCGCTGCCACCCACCCAGCCCGGGCGCCCCTGTGCACGGCAGGCACAGCCCTGGGACGTGCAGGACCACCAGAGTAAGGGGTGACCGAGAGACACGGGAGGTGGCGGTGCCAAGCAGTGAGCTCCTGCCCCAGCCCCGGCGCCTCCCGTCGCGCTCACCGGTCCAGCATCTTTGTGGTGGCCCTTTCGAGCTTCTCCAGGATCTGCAGCAGCTGCGTGTCGTCGTCGCACAGGCTGCCCCAGCCCAGCACCCGTGCCAGGTCGTTGCCGGTGCCCAGGGGCAGCACCCCCAGCTGGCACTGCAGAGGAAGGCCCAGGGTGCTCTGAGCAAGCTGGGGACACCCAGCCAGGCGGTGGTAGCAACCACCTGCAACACCCCCAGCTCTGCAGGTAAGGTCCACGTCCCTATCTCTTGCACCCCAACCCATCCGTGCACCCTGGCATGCTAAGGGGGACAGACCCATCACCCTGTCCTTGCTGGGGTCTCGCCAGCTCACCCAGGTGACACCACGCGGCCGCACTTGCGCTCACTTGTTTGTGCAGGCCGAGGGCATCAATTTCGGAGAGGACCCAGCCCACGCTGCCGTCTCCTCCACACACCAGGATGCGGAAGGTGGAAAACTTCTGGAAGAGCCGCAGCCTGGCCGAGGGCACAAGAGAGGAGGCTGAGGGGCTGCATCATCATCTCGCATGAGGCCCATGCCGATGTGATCCACCCACCAAGCCCAGCGCTTACCCCAGGTGTGGGCCCCCGTTCATGAGGTCAAAGACTTGGGCCGGGTTGAGGAACTGCTTGAACTTGCGCAGGAACTTGACGCCTTGGTTGTCCCCACTTTTGGAGTTGACGAAGGCCAGGAGAGGGCTGGAGCAGGACGACGGGCAGGTGGCCTTCCAGAAACCTGCGGCGAGTCCACATACATGAGCCCCAAGCAGTGTCCCTAACCCTGGCTCCTCTGTCCCCAAGGACATTAGAGGAAACAGCTTAGGAGACCAGGGGCCATGCAGACACCTGGACTGTGCTAAGCTGAAAACGAGGGCTGCTGGGATCCAGACATAGCTGAGGAAACGGCAACCAGGATGCTCAGGGAATGGAGAGAGGAGGAAGGAGTGAGCTGAGAGATGGCAATGGATGGGACTTGGCTTGGAGTTGGGAATAGGGATGGGGAAGGAAATGGATGATAATGGTATGGGGAAAGGAATGGGAATAAGCATACAGACGGCGAGGGGAAGGAGGGGGTGATGAAGAAAGGAATGGGGATGGGGATGGGAAAAGGGATGGGAATAGGGAGAGGGGAAGAGTCAAGGCTATGTCAGACAGGCCCAAGGGCAGAGCTAAGTTTGTGCCCACAAAGGCAGTGATGGAGCGAGGAGCTAAGCAAGTCACTGGCTTAAACCAGGGCTTGGGCTGTTGCTCCGGAGGTGAGAAGCACAGGATGGAAAACCCCTCCTGGCACCAGCAACCCAACTGGGACCAACCTATTCAACATCCTCCACAGCAGGGCATGCTCTGCAACCCAGGGTGGCACCACCACGGGTACCCGCTGAGGAGCAGCCCCCCAGCTCTCCCACCCGCTCGCGCTGGCAGGGCAGAGGGGAATGACGCAGAGGCCGAGGGCGGCTTGGCAGCCACCACGCTGCTCTCAGAGAAATTAGACGGGGGATGAAATGTGCCCGATGCAGAGGAGAATTGATCGCTGGCCTGGAGCCGGCGGCCGCCCGCGGCACATCCCGTCCCGGTGCCCCGGGACGCGCTGGCAGCTGCCCTGGCTTGGGGACACTCCCGCTGCTGCCGCATCCACCCACAGCTCCGGCGGCCCGGCCGGGCTGCCCTGCTGTCACCGCTGCTCCCGTGCAGGGACCGGGCGGGCGCTTGGTAATCCAGGCACATCCCACCCGGCTGGCCGCTGCACGGCCGCTTGCTGCGGCGCTGCCCTCCCCGGGCTCCTCCCGCGGGACCCCGCAGCCCTGCTGTGCTCAGCCCCCGTGCCCGGAGCCCGCAGGGGCCCTGGGACAGCCACAGCACGGGGAGGGAGCTCCCGGGCTGCCGCGGGGCCGGCTGGTGCCCGGGCATTGCCCGCTCGCTGCTGCTGCTGCTGCCCGGGAACAAGCGGAGCGGATCTGAGAGCAAAAACACCGGGGGCTGCTGAGTCAGTGTGTGGGCTGCGAGCGGAAGAGCCGGCTGCCAAGCGCACATGTAGAGCGGGGGAGAAACCGCAGCAGGGAGCAGGAGCAGGAGCAGGAGCAGGAGCAGGAGCAGGGCGAGCGCCGTGGCGGGGAGCCCGGCCGGACTCCGGGGCATCGCGGGCACCGCCGACCGGCTGCCACGGGGCTGCAGGGGGGGCACCCCCAATGCCCAGGGGGGCCATCCCCAAGCAGACACGGCTCTTAGGACAGAAAAGCTGCCGCGTGTTGGTTGCCCTGACAGCATCCCGATGAGTAACGAGAAGCAGATGAGCCACCGGCTGAGGGAAGCGGCGAAAATCATTAAAGAACGAGGAAAGAACTGTCTGGAGGAGAAGAACAGATTTTGCTCAGCGGAGGCCAGCTGGACCCTCCGGAGACGAGGAGGGAGAAGGGGGAGGGAGTCTCCATGGGCCAGGTACTGCTTCCCTCCACCGCCAGGAGACTGGGGCAGAGAAAGCGCTTCTCCTGCCAACACCTCCTGCTGCCATCATCATTTGGGAATGGAGATACAACCCGAGCAAGGCTTTGCTCTGCGAGGGGGTGAGCGGCAGAGTCCAGAGGATGGAGAGGAGCAAGCAAGGACGTGGCATCTCAACYCCCCAGCAGGTGCAGGTGAGTGGGAGCCAAGTTCAAGCTGTCATGGAGCGTGACCAGGGCTGCTGAGAGGGCAGCCGGGGCAGCAGCCACCAAGGCAATAGCTGGGGAAGAAGTGCCACCCAAAGCAGGGCACTGCTGCAGCCCTGCGCCAGAGCACACCGCAGCAAGCAGCCAAGGCTCTGGGACGTTGACTCTTGAACCTACTGAGCACGGTGCTGCTGGTGCCGTGCAGGAAAGCGGGCGCAGAGCGCGAGAGCCCAGTCAARGTCTGCTGAGCATGAGCTGGAGCTCAAAGGCCTCGAGAGACCCTGTCCCAAGCAGGGAGAGGAGCCTGTCCCCCATGTAACAGACCGGTCACTGCCCGCTCTGGGACTCACCGTCTGAATCGATGCTGTTCAAGGCGGTTGGTGGGATGATGGAAACTTTGTACTGCCCCAGGGGGCATCTCTTCCCAAAGAGCTCCTTGCAGGCGCTGTGGACCTGGGGCAGAGGGACACGGGCTGAGCCGCGGCGGAGGCCAGCGGACCCAGTGCAACCCCGGCCTTGCTGAGCGCTCCCCACCGAGCCTCAGTTTCCCCAGAGATGTGGCCAGAGGGAGCACTGATGTTTTAGCAACTGGTTTTGTGGGGACCAAGGAGTGCCGGGGCTGGGAGGAGAAGGGCAGACCCAATCTTGTCCCTGGCTCTTTGGCTGCCTGATGCACAGCTCATACTGGGGCCATCCTTCCCAAAGCCAAGTCCTCACTTGGCCAACAGCTCAGGAGAGTCCAGTGGCCTCAGACGGGGACCCCAACCAGCCCACCAGGCTGAGAGGCTCTGCCAGGGTCAGTCCTTACGATGGCCTTGCACCAGAGACACCGCCAGTCCTGCAGCCGCCGGACGCTCCCGCAGGTCCGGTCGCACACGGCGCAGCGCGCGCTCACGGGCAGGTTCCCCTCCAGCCACTGGTGGGGCATGGCCACCTGTGAAGAAGGGCAGCTGGCCACCAACGTCCCAGGCCAGCTCCTCGCGTGCCCGAGGACCAGTGACGCCGGCAATGGGGACAGGAATGCAAGGGATGCTCATAGCTTTGGCCAGCAAACCAGTCCTAGAAGACGTCGTGCTTCCTCTCACCCATGCCTGTCCAGCCCCTTGCAGGGCAAGGGACACCAGGGTGTCAGCACTGTCCCTGCTCCCCATTCAGCTCCCCATTCCCCACCAAAGGCCACTTCTGCCAGGTGCTCCAGCACTGGCTGTTCTGTCATGCCAGGACAGACGAGCCCCCTGCGCAGAGCGGAGCTGCTTACCCCGTCCTCATCCTCGATGATGTCCGTGCCGATGGAGGCCAGGGTTGTCCACTTGCAGTTGTTGGTGGCTCTCACCGCGCACCGCTTGTGGGCCTTGAACTTGCAGACTGGGGGGAAGAGTGGGTGAGGGGCAGGGATGGTCCCCTGGGGGATGTGCATCCCCGGCCCCAATCCCGGGGCCAGGAAACACCTCCATCCAAGCAAAGCTGGCCATGGACATCACCCTGCTTGATCCCCATCTAGGTGAGCCTTCATCCCCCTGCGTTGGAGGGGTGCAGCCCTGCACTGGTCCCAGTCCCCAGAAGGGACCCAGTGGCACCTACCTTCACAGGAGAGGCCGTGGGAGGTGACCCCGGAGAGGGCCTCGCGGCACACGTTGCAGAAGGTGGGCCTGGCGTGGGAGCAGGCGTACCAGTTGTGCATGCCCGAGAAGTGCTCCATGTTGAACTGCGTGGCCTGCGGGGACACAGCCCTGGTCCGTAAGGCCTGTGGTCCCGGCCCTGCTAAAACCCCACCCCAGCCCCATGCAAACACCTCTTGTAAACGCCCCATGACTCCCTAAGGACTGGCCAGAACTGGGTGGGATTAGCCCTGTTTCTGCTCCACCAGATGCCCCCAAGCCCATTCCCATCTCATCTCCCTGGGGGAAGGATGTCCAAGCCCCAGCATGGGAGCGGGGGACATGCTGGTGGAGTCCACCCTCACGTGGTGCATCAGTTCCTGGGGGCCATCTGCCCAGGCACTGTGGCCACATGGCCTGGTCCTGCCCGTCACCACGGATCATCCGTCACCAGCACAGCCATCCTCGTGCTCGCGGGCTCCTTCACCTCGTGGATTTCCCACTTCTGCACAGACTTCAGGGCACCGATCCAGTCTTCCATCTCCTTGCGGTTCTCTGCACACAGGATGAGCTTCCGAAAAGGCGTGATCACCTGGAAAAGCCACAGCCCCGTGCCCCCTTGCAAAGCGCCCCCGAGGAGCCCGGCCCCTGCACAGCCCCCCGGCAAATCCCACGGTGCAGAGCTGTCCCGCGCCAACATCCCGCGGCTCTTGCCACCTCCAGCTTCCTTGCCCGCCCTGGCAGCGCAGGAGATGGGGGCCTGTCACCCCCTGGGGACTGCCCACGTGCCACAGCTCCGTGCCCATGGCCACAGGGCTGGGACAGCAGGGCAGGCGCCGCGGCRCGCGCCCCGCGCCAGCCTCACCGTGAAGCTGTTGTTGATGTTCTTGGTGCTGGTCTCCGCCACGCTGGCGTCAGACAGGTCCACCTCATCGAAGATCAGGGACTGCAGGGGAGGAACGGGAGCCCCGCGCTCAGCCTCGCGGGCAGCCCCATGTTCCACAGCACAAACTGAGGGGCAGCAGTCTTCCTCCCCATGGCACTGGGGCAGAGACAGCCCCAGAGCTGCCCATGGAGACCAGGCTACAAGGCCAGGGGCAGCCGCAGCCTCCTTGTGCCCATGTCCTTGCGCCTCCTGGGCGGCCGGTRTCCAGCCTACCTTGGAGTCCTTGGCGTAATAGAGCGTCCTGCCCCGCAGCTTGAAGTAGCGCCGCTTCCACCTCTGGAAGGAGCTCGTCTGCTTCAGCAACAGCCCCTCCTTGACGCTTTTCTGCACAGAGAGCACCGAAGCGCTGAGCTGCTGCAGCGCCTGGGAGCCCCCAGCCCCGACCAAGACCCTCCAAGCGATGCCATCCCCTGCGGTCCTGAGGCGAGGAGCAAAGCAGGGCACAGGGCTCGGGTAGGACATTTGGGTGATCACACTGTGCTGCCTGTGTGTGGCACAGGCTGTCCAGGGATGCCGGATTTGGCGTCATGCCCAGCACAAGAAACACAAGAGGGGCCATAAATCCAGCACAGGCTGCGCGCAGGGGGCTGCCCAGCACCCCCAGCCTTCACCCCGCCGCTTGGCGGGGGTGCCCACCCCTGGGTGCCCTGCACGGGTGCTCTCTGGTACCTCTGCCTGCACAGAGCCCCAGCACCCTCAGGAGCAGGGCTGCGCCACGTCCCCATGGGTGCCACCAGTGCTGACTAGTGACAGCAAGGACATCCGTTGCCTGATGGCTGCACCTTGGACATCAGTTCTCTGCTCTCACAGTCCTCCAGCACTGACCGCAGCCAGGATGCTGGGCACTTGCAACCCACTCCCGGAGCTGGTGCTTTGAGGGGGCACTGCCAGGCATGACCAGAACGGGTGCCGGGAGCTTTTCAGTAATGCAAAAGCGCCACTTCTTGCCCGTCTCTGCCCGGCTTCCTCCTCCCTGGCCCCAGAGGCAGCACCCAAAGTGGCATCGAGCTACTGCAGCAACCTGGGTGTGCAGGGGAGAGCAGAGCAGCGCAGGGAGGCCAGCACTGCTCTCCCCAGTAGAGGACAACACTGCCGTGGGGACCAACATGCAGAGCAAGGGCACTCCTGGACCAGTGGCACCTCGTGGTGCTTGTGGCTCCGCAGTGCCCAGCCTGCAGTCCCGGCACTGCTCTTCCCTCCCAGCACCTGCCAATATTTACCCTCCTCGCAGCAGTGTTTACACGGCTCAATTAATTAGCACTTGCAACGCGGCCATGAGCCGCCACTGAGCAGGGTGGCAGGGATGCGCTGGCACTGCCTAATCTTTGATTGCATCTTCATTGCACGCTGCCGGCAGCCCCGCTCCGCTGCTCTGCAGCAATTAGCCAGCACGGCAGCAGCGGTAGCAGGTCCCGGCACACAATTAAATGGGTGTTTAACGGCGAGCTGCCGCTGGGCGCCACGGGGGAGCTGCGGTTCCAGGGTGCCACGCTACGGACTCGCGCTGGGCGCTTTCCCCATGCCTGCTCTGCTGGCTCGCCACGGTGCCAGCCCCAGGGACAGGGACAGCAGCACTGCACCAGGCTCGGGCAGCCCGGCCGCAGCTTGGCCGCGGGATTGCAGCCGCGGAGCAGCCCGCGTGCAGACCAAGACACGGAGCATGCAAAGGCAAAGCGCTTTCCAAGGGCCAGGGAAGCGCGGGAGCCTCCTGCGCGCACGTGGCTGCGGCAGGGCCTCCCCGCGCCAGCCGTGCGGAGCGGCCCAGCGGGCGCTCGGGGGCTGCTGCACGGCGGGCACGGGGCCGCGGGGGCTGTGCCCGGCGCACACGGGCGGCACGGCCGTTGCTCGCCTGCCCCGCTTCCTATAAATAGCTCTGCTTTCCGGAGCGCGTCCCCGGGCGCGGGGGCGGCCAACCCCGGCGGTGCCGCGTCCCCGGCGAGGGGCGCTCCGCTGGCTGCTGCCGGCGGGGCTCTCGCCGCCCCTCTGTGCTGCCCCGCGGCTGCAGCTGCCCTGCAGAGCGCCCGCCAGGACCGCAGTGCTCCAGCACGCAGCGGCGCGGGACGCTGCTCCCGCCGCCCCTCGCCCCGCGCGCACAGCTCCCAGTGCCACGCACCTTGAAGCCCTCATCCATCCAGGGATGGGGACAGTCCCCATCCCTCCCAAGCCACACTTTGCCAGCCGTGCATCACGGGATGCTCACACCCCTGAAGGACGGCATGCCCAAGATCAAATCCCTGCGCCCCCGGCTGCGGCCGTGCCCAGGACTCAGAGAACAAGGCTGATCCGCAGGGCGCTGCAAGGAGAGCACCAGCAGGGAGAGCTCACGGCCCYGCGCTGGGTCCCAGCACAGGGGATGCTCCTGCCCAGCCCCAGGAGGAAGACAGGAGGAGAGGAGCCCAAGCACCAGGCAATGCACCAACCTGCATGGTGCAAGCATYGTCCCCAGCTCGCCCTACTCCAGATCTGCCAGCCTGCTCTGGACACGTGCTGGGATTCGGACAGGTTGGATCCCTCCAGCCAACCGCACGGGTCCCATGAGTGGGGGACCACAGCCCGAGGCRCTGGAAACCCTATGGCCCTTGGGTGCCTGCGATACGGCTCAGCGCTTCCGGAACCGCGCGCCGGGGCGGCACCGTGTCCCCAAGACACCACCCAGACCACGGACTGCAAGGCACCCACATGGGCTAACGGCTTAACGGCGACTCCGGGAAGGAGGCAAGCGGCGGCTCCGCTCCCAGGAACTTCCCCTTTGCCCCCCTTGCAGTGTGGCCTCCGGCGGTGACAGCCCGGAGCCGCTTCCCTGTCGCCAGCTGCACTCCCCAGGCTGGATGTGAGCCCCTGCTGCAGGAGAGACGCCCACGACGCAGCGGGGCGCGAGCGCCGGGCGCCCGCCGCTGCTCCTCCCGGCCCCGCGCCTCGCGGCTCGCGCTTCTTACATAATGGAAAATGTGAGCGGCGAGAGGGCAGCGCGTTCGAGCAACCGCACACGCATCCGGCTGGTGTCACCGGGCTATCTTTGCACCCCAGGYGACAGCTCGCGAGCCCTGATGAAGGAACGCGAGCCCGGACGGGCCCGTGTCACTGCCCGGCACTGGGTGCTGGGGGCAGGATGCTGGGCCAGCTCATCATGGGGTCCCCCCCAGATTTAATTAGGAGCCTGTGGTGGACACATCARTGGGGCACGTGCTGCCCATGAAGAGTGAGGCCAGTCCTATGGAGCTCTTCTCCGGCCCAAGCGAGCCGGGATCAGAGCAACGGAGATGGGTCACGGCTGCCTTGCTGCTTTAGGAAGGAGGTTTCCGGGCTTGGCCCCACGGGTGCCGCCTCACTTCGCTTTTCCCAGGGCAAGGAGCCAGCCCTGCCCGCTCAGCTCTCCCAGTGGCCTGGCCTGGTGTCCCCCATGGCAGCGCCCGGCATTCTCCATGCACCCAATGCCTGGCCAGAGTCAGTCACGGCCACGCAYACGGTGAGGGTCCCCAACCCCAGCCACCCCGGGACCCTTCCCAGAGCCGTCCCTGTGGCCTCCTGCAGCCGCCCGCCTCGCTGCCCGCTCCCCGTCGCTGCCCACTCCCCGCCTCTGCTCAGCCTGCACCACGACGGGTACCGTGCCGCAGCACGCGCTGCCGGCCTGGGCACAATATCTCCATGGCCTGCGCGGCACCACGGCCACGGCAGCGCGGAGCAGGCAAAGCCAGAGCAGGGGAGAGGCGGCAGCAGCGGGGAGCGACGCTCGGCAGGGAGATGCAGGGAGGGATGGGGGGGCGGCCGAGGGCACCGGTGAGCAGGGCCCGCGGGGAAGCGCCAGCTCCGTCGGGACACAGTGGGGACCAGGACAACCCGTGTTGCCCTCCTTGCTCTCCAGGCCCCACGGCAGCCCCCTGCAGCATCCCGCCTCTGCCAGCGCGGCCCCAACGCAGCCGCCCACGGATGCCGTGCGCGTCCCACCCCGGCAGTGCCTCCCCGGAGCCGTGAGCCCCGCCGCCCACCCCTGCGCCGCGCTGCCCGCCTCCCCGGCCGCGCGCCGCCGCCGGCATCGCCTCCTGCATGGATAATCGCCGCCGCGCGGGCCGGCCGGCCTGGCTCCGCCGCAGCCTCCGCCGCAGCTGCACCCGCTGGCGCTGCTGCCTCAGCCCTGGAGCAGAGGGAGCCGGGGGACGCGGTGCCCCATGCGGACACCGTGTCCCGTGCGGATCCCCGCTCTTCACACACCATCCCCATGCTAGGGCAGGCCCTCACGCACCCAACACTGCCTGTCCCAGCCCGGGTCCTTCTACCATCTCACCTTGCACCTCTGACAGTGCCTGCACCCCAGCACAGCTGCCAGCACCCACCTGGCAGACAGAGCTGGGAGGAGGCCAAGGAGGTGCCCATCCCAGCGTGGAGATGGGGAAACCGAGGCACATCCCTTGTGCAGAGACCCTGGCAGGACTCCGCAGGAGTGCCTGCCGCTGCCTTGCTGGGAAACGTCTCCAGCCTGGAGTGTGTGACTTGTGCACATTCAGCAAAGTGCCCCTTGGCCCTCCGTGCCAGCACGCCGGGCTCAGCACAGCAGTGCCATGTGGGGCCAGAGCGAGAGGAGCTGAGCTCAGGCTGGCCCTGGCCCCACACCAGCCCTCGCTGCCCACCCTGCCCGAAGCCTCCACTGCACCCCTGGGGACACCCAGCCAGCCGAGTAGGTCCACGGTCCTGATCTCAGGCCGTGCTCCAGCTCAGCCCACATCGCGGGAGTAACCGACGGGCACGGGACGGGGCAGCAGGGGTGACARCAGCCGCCTTGGGTAGGTGCCACCCCTCAGGCTGTGGCTAACATGGAACATCACAGACACGCTTCCCTCGTGCCACCAGCTCCAGGCTCCGGGCAGCCCCCAGGTGGCTTCAGAAGCCCCCCTGCCCTTCATTTCACTGAGAGCCTGGTACCCATTTGTTCCCTGCATCGGCCCAGACCCACATGCCGACGCAGGCACCTTGCGAGCCACCGCGGCTAGCCACTCTTCTCACCTCTCCATCCTCATCGTCACCTCACTTGTGCAGCCCCAAAATAACAGCCTGCCAGGCCCTTCACAGAAGGCGCCTGGCCATTTTGTTGTGCTCACTTGTCCAGCAGAGCTGGCACCACATAATTTTGCAAGTCCCCTGGGACCAGCGGGTTTCCAGCACTGTGCCCAAACCCTCACCAAGATGCACGGCCTCACTACCAGGGCTCGGTGCCCTCCTGGCTCTGTCCCAGCCCTGCAACGGGTTTTCCTGGGCTGCAAGCAATAAGCAAACATGTCCCCACAATTTCCACCCCAGGGCTGCATGAAGGCAGCCCATGAGCTCGGGGGCCCCTGCAGGACCCCGTGCCCCCCGCCTAGAGCCGGCACGCCGCTGACCTTGCTCCTCATCTGCCCCGACGTGGACACCTTGCGGATGAGCTTGTGGGAACTGTCCTCCTGCTCGCCCTCGCTGTCGGATGACTCCTCTCCTGCTGCCTCAGGTGAGATGGGTGCCAGCTTATCCGAGTCCAAGGAGGACACAGAGTCTCGGGTCTTCCTCAGGAACAGGTCTCCGGACACCAGTTTCTCGGCCATCTTCCCACCTGGCTCCACTCAGGGCTCTGCCGTGCCTGGTGACAGCCTTGGGGGGGACAAGGACATGTGATGCTGGAGGCAGAGCCCCAAAACGGGGGACGCAGCCAGCAGGGCGGCACGTGCCTGGGAACCGGGGGAGGCGGCGCCTCCTCACCCAGGAACGCTGCGCTCGGGGTGGCTCCCACGCCAACTTTTCCCTCCCTTTCCTTTTTTTTTTTTTTGGTATCCAAACTCCTTCCTCGCCCTCCCCTCCCTGTGCACCAGGTGGCCACACATTGTCCCCACTGCGAGCCCTGCTCTGCGCTGCGGGTGGCACTGCAGCCACTCCGTGMCCTGGCCTTAGAGCCCCCTGGTCCTCCAGCCTTGGGGCCACCTCGGACCTCCTTCCCCCCTGCCCTTCCCCGGTGGCCGGGCCACTTCTCAGGGGGCTTGTGTCCATAGCAGGGGGAGTGCAGCGGGGGGAGCAGGGGRGTTGTTTTCTCCATGGAAAGCAGCAGCCACCTTCTCGCGCCGCATCTTGCTCCAGCGGCCGGGAAGTGACGGGAGCATCTGCGCCAAGGAGCGGGGGGGAGGGAAGCGGCCCCGCAGCGGGGGGTCCCGAGCAGGTGGCGGCGGGAAGAGGGGGGGACAGCCAGCGGACTGGGGTCGGGAGGAGGCAGGAGAGGGGGGGGCTCGGCAGCCGCAGCCCCATAGCGCAGCTCGGCCCCCGCTCTCCGCGGAACCCACGCCGCGAGGGGGGAAAAAAGGGGCAAATATGGGGCGGG